CAAGATAAGCCTCCCTGTAAAATCCTCACACCTGCTTAGACTCTGCCTCATGCTGGCTACGCTGCCACTTTCCCCATCTTTCCCCCACACTAGACAACATTAATCCATGATGATAGCTATTCCAGCAGAGCCAGAATCTGGTGTCAGAGTCTTTTTCAAGATAGCTCTGTAGGCAGCCACTTTGGATCATCCAGTCAGCATGAGAGAGGAGACTTGTTTGCAGTCCTGCTTCCGAGTGAATTTGTGTAAAAGTAATTCTAAAATCAATGTCCAGAGAATAGGGTTAAGAGGACATTGGGGAGGGAACGGGCAGAGTCAGGGCTACTGGAGAACATAGCTATTACTTAGGTGGGGCTACCTCGTGGCAGCCCAGGTATAACATGCCAGCCTTCAGATAGGCATGGTGATCTCTTCCCATTGTATTTCCCCACTGTGTGTGTGTGTGTGTGACTGTGTATCCAAGACCCAAGATAAATGGCTGGAGCTGTGGGTTCAGTTTGCAACCACGGAGCAAGAGGGATCTCCCTGATGGAGATCAAACTGATGTCCTTGATTGCCCTAGTGTGGTTTTCAACCAGCTAAGCTAGCTTGTGACCAGCAGAGAAAAATAAGGGCTCATTGTTCAAAGTGTGGTCTGTGGCCAGCTTGTTGGCCTCCTCTGGGAATGCGTTAGAAATGCAGAATCTCAAACCTCGTTCCAGAGCTATTGAAATAGTGATTCAGAGGCCATGTGTGGTGGCTCACACCTGTAATTCCAGCAGTTTGGGAGGCCGAGGTAGGAGGATTGCTTGAGGGCAGGAATATGAGACCAACCTGGGCAACATTTCAAGATCCCATCTCTTTAAAAAAATAGCCAGGCACGGTGGTTGATATGGTTAGGCTTTGTGTCCCCACCTAAATCTCATCTTGAATTATAATCCCCATAATCCCCACGTGTTAAGGGAGAGACCAGGTGGAGGTAATTGAATCATGGAAGCAGTTTCCCCCATACTGTTCTCGTGCTAGTGAGTGAGTGCTCACAAGATCTGATGGTTTTATAAGGGGCTCTTCCCCCTTTGCTTGGCATTTCTCCTTCCTGCCACCTTGTGAAGGTGGGTGCCTTGCTTTTCTCTTTGCCTTCCACCATGATTGTAAGTTTCCTGAGGCCTGCCCAACCACGCTGAACTGTGAGTCAACTAAACCTCTTTCCTTTATAAATTACCCAGTCTCGGGCAGTTCTTCATAGCGCTATGAAAACAGACTAATACAGTGGTGCACGCCTGTAGTCTTAGCTACTGGAGAAGTTGAGGTGGGAGGATCGCTTGAGCCTAAGAGTCGGAGGCTGCAGTGAGCTCTGATTGCACTGCTGTATTCCACCCTGGGTGATGGAGTGAGACCTTGTCTCTTAAAAAAGATTCAAAATTTATATCATTTTAACAAATCATGCAGGTGATTAATATGCACATGAAAGTTTGAGAAGCACTGGCTTAGAAAAGTCACCATGTAGTGCAGTAACTTCAAACTGATTGGTATTTTAAGGGTCTACTATGTGCCCAGAAATGTGCTGGACTTTGATAGATATCAATGAGGTATGTGACAGGCTCTGTCTCTGAAAGTAGCTTGGTGAGTGTAAAGGCACCATGCGGAGCACAGACTGGAAAGAGAACCCTGTTTTTGTTTTGTGCTGCTTTTTATTTTCCTTTTTTCCTCTGCTGTTCTTTTATCCTTATAGTGATTACTTAAAAAAAAAAATTTATGTTGTCCTGCGTTGCATAGGCCCTAATACCCAAATTTCAGAATTTCTCCCAATTCTTTTGGCGGCTTTGTGGGCTTGATTCAGTCCTTCCACTCCCCATCCTCACCATCTGCTTCTCCACCACCTTTCTACTGGCCCAAGGTTTGAACCAAGGCCCTGCTTTTGCAGAGCACACTGATAGGGCATTTTTCCCCCTCAGCTATTGCTGATTTGCTTATTCTATTGAAAAGGGCTCAGAATCTTAGGCAATTCATACGGCTTGGAGTGGAATTGCAGAGTGGAACCTGCTTACTAATGAGAGACAGTCTTATTCAATAGATCCTTAACTGGGGGTCCTTCACCTGTTCTGGGATCTATTAAACAGCCCCTTGGGCTGGGTTTCCTATCATGTGGTGCTGAATGGCCAAGGGACAGATGCCAACTGTTTTAACTAGATGACATACGCTATTATTTGTCTTCCCCATCTTCAGCAGGTTTGCCACTCTGGACTGCCATCTCGGGAGACTGCACTGCATTGTCCAGCACCAAGTAATGCAAGATCAGTTATCCCTACTAAGTTCATTTCTATGGGTCAGTTTCAATGGTGTAACTGTCTGATCTGTCCTCTTAACACATAGAACCGCGATTAGGAGAAACAAGACGGGGTGTCTCTAAAGTCAAGTGGGTGAAAGATGGGCTGCTGAAGTGGGTTCTATTTGCCTTCTCTGTCCTTTTTCAGGCCATTAGCTGGTGTTACAGGGCACCTCACACTGCCATCCTTGGCTTCTGCCAACATTCAGGAAGGTGGGCCTCTTTAAATCTGAGTCTGTGAATTAAATGCGTTTTCTTAACTCGGACACTGTTAAGAATCTGTCAGCATTTCCATTAAGAAAAGATTAATGAATAAGATGACAAATTGCTAACTATACCAATGCTCTTGTGTGCTTATTTTTTCCCCTGAGGATTATTTTGGGTGAAGATTTCCACTCTTGTGGCATTGGTACACAAAACTATATGATCCTCCACTCTGCAATAGAATAGTCACTAACCCGATGTGACTACTTTAATTGAAACTAAATGAAAGATTTTCTCAGTTACATCACATCTGCAACCTTCCTTTATTCCTTTCTTTTCTTTTTCTTTTTGAAACGGGATCTTGCTCTGTCACTCAGGCTGGAGTGCAGTGGTATCATAGCTCACTGCAGCTTCGAACTCCTGGGCTCAGGTGATCCTCTTGCCTCAGCCTCCTGAGTAAATGGGACTACAGGTATGCACCACCACACCTGGTGAATTTAAACTTTTTTTTTATTTGGAGACAGGGTCTCACTCTGTCAACCAGGCTGGAGTGCAGTGTTGTGATCTCGGCTCATTATAACCTCCATCTCCCAGGCTCAAGCGATCCTCCCAACTCAGCCGCTCCGGTAGTTGGGACTATGGGCGTGCACCACCCTACCCAGCTATTTTTCTTTTTTTTTCTGTATTTTGTAGAGATAGGTTTTCACCATGTTTCCCAGGCTGATCTTGAACACCTGAGCTCAAGAGAACCACCCATCTTGGCCTCCCAAAGTACTGAGATTATAAGCATGAGCCACCACACCTGGCCAATTTTTTTTTTTTTTTGTGACAAGTTTTCAATATGTTGCCCAGGCTGGTCTCAAATCCCTGGCCTCAAGCAATTCTGTCACCTCAGACTCCCAAACTGTTGGAATTACAGATGTGAGCCACAGCACCTGGTCACCTGCAACATTTCAAGTGTTCAATAGTCATGTGTGGCTGGTGGCTACAGATAAAGGACATTTCTATCACAGTTCTTTTAGACAGTGCTAAGAGTGACCCAGTAGAATTTAGAAGAAAGAAATGGTCGTCTTTGTCACATGGGCCTTGGTCCTAATCTCATTTCTTCTAAGTAGTGAGATGACTTTGGGCAAGCCATTTGACTTCCCTAAGGGCTCAGTTCCTGCATCTGTTAATGGGGTAATTCTACTTGCATAACAGGGTCCTTCTGAGAGCTCTAGCATCAGTGCTCAATTGGCAATAACCTCGTTTGTCCTGCACCTCCTGCCAAACAACCTATTTCTCTTAATCCCTAGATCACCTGTATTACTAGGAGCTCATTCTGAGCTTGAAGACCTGGCCAGGAGCAGAGGGAATTGCCTTTCCCTCAATGGTAGAAAGGGGAATTCGTGATATCCTGAGATTCTAAGATGGTGATTCCTGCCCAGGCAGGGAGGGGATAGGCTTTGCTTCTTCTGCACACCTTGCTTTTAGCTCAACTCATTTCTTCTCTGTCATTGCCTGAAATGAGTGTGTTGAAATCAGTAATATTTGGAGTTTCCAATGAATAATTGTTACATAAATCATTAGTTCTTAAATTTTACTGGACATCAGAATCACCTGGAGGGTTTGTCAAAGCACGGATTTCTGGGCTCCTCCCCCAGAGTTTCAGGGTCCGCAGGTCTGATGTGGGGCCTGCGAATTTGCGTATGCATTCCCAGATGCTGCTGCTGCTGCTGCTGCTGGTGGTCTGTAGTGCACCCGAATCATGGAAGCTGGAGCATTTCTATGAGCAAAGATTAAATTGTCTGTATCCTTACTTTACACAGAGGATACCCAGCATGTTCTTGAGGGTATGAGAGTTCTTTATAACATTGTTATAATTGTGATTTCATTGTCAAAATAGAATAGATTCACACTGATTATAGATTATAGATGATCATCTTTTTTCTTTCATTTTTTTTTTTCCTTTTTACAAACCCTTGTGTCAAGAAGGGCTGACTTACAATAGAGGACAACGAGGGAGCTGCTCCGCTATATCCAAAATTCCCAGCCAGAAGCAGGTGGTCTACCAGTGGTTTACCACCAGGTTCCCCACAAAACTGGCAGTGCATGAATGGCATAGATGACGGTCTCCAAGCCAACTGCAGCATGTAGATTTCAGTGCCTGCTTTTGCATTTGTATGTACAATCACATTATTAGCAAGCGATTTCCAAAACTGGCAACATTTAACTTTTGACCTAGTGTTTCTCAAATTGTCTCTTCCCTTTCCGGTGATACCACGGCTGTAGCTGGACCCCTGGGCCTTCCCTATCCCTGTTCCTGTTTTGTTACTCCCAGGCTACTTGGTGGGAAAGAGACATCTCATTTTCAGGGCATTTTTGGTGGGTGAGCGTCGTAATCTACAGTTTTGCCTGTAGAGGGCAGCAGCACCAAGAACTTCCTGGCTGCATTTTCAGTGTCAAATGGGTATCAGCCTGGTGTCTCTGTTCCTTCCGTCCCTCTTCTCACCTTGCTCTTCTTCCTGGCAGTCACATCTAAAAAAGGATATTTTCAAAGTACCCCCGTTGCCTCGGCAACTGGTGCCCAGGAAGGCGGCCTGGGGTGTAGCAGCGGTGTTGCTGGATGCCCACCTGCTTTCAGTGTGGCTGGGAGGGGACTGCCCCCACCCCACAGCCTGGCCACCTGGCAATGCCCAGTGACTCTGGGAGGTGGCTGTCTGGGAAGCCTGTGCTCGCTGCCGACTTCTGGGGCTTTGCTCGCACATATCCTCTTTTGCTTTCTTGTCCCCAAAATGCCTCTTCCCAGAAAGAATCTGAGTCAGTCTCTCGTCATTAGATTAGTTCCTGCCAAACTACGGCAGATGTCAAAGCAGCTGATAGGAAGATTATGATTCTCCCTCTCCCAACCCCAACAGGGAAAGCGGAGTAAAGAACCCGAGGGAGAAGTTTGTTGAGCAAAGTTCCGATGAGGAGGGGAGATGGTTCTATATTTTGGCAGCTCGGTAACCATATTCCCATCCCCTCTGCCCCATTCAGCATGGAGACGCAGGAAGGAGTCCCACTTAACTTCCTGTCTGAACAGCCCAGGATCTTTGGATTTAATGTTGCCTTAAAACAAGAGCAGTTTCCTTTCTTTCAATAGACACCCCTTGGCTTGGCCCACATGCTTGTGGAAGTGATGGATTTTTGGAAGAGGATTTTTCCTGGTCTAATGCTGTCTTTCCTACATGAACTCATACTCTCACTTGCGCACACATGTTTCAACTTATCTTCTGTCAGACAGCACCTGCTCTGTCACCAGTCAGTGATAACTGCTAACAATTTCTTCTCCTGAGGCTCACAGGGAGGGGAGTTCTCTCTGAACCTCCTGGTTGAGGAGCCACTCCGCAGTGGTCCCAGGAGTTCGTCTGGTGTGGAACCCTCCTAGTGTAACCATACACTTGTCCTGGAGTAAACCCTTTCTCCTTAAGGACTTGACACAAAATCTTAGATCCAAGACCCCAGACAACAGCTCAGTTCAGAGAAGACTGAAGTCATCAGGATGCTAAGGTGGGCTCAGGAAGTCCTGCAGCCAGCTAGGTATCCTTTGTGGGGAAGAAGTCAGTCAGCAGTGGCCCCAGAAAAAAACCAGATCAAATCCAGGGGGTCAGGGCAGAAGTGGCCTGGCCTTGTGTTGTGCCAAACTCCTATTCACCTCAATAGGGAAGGCACTAGGTTCAGGAGGCTGAAGAGACTCAGAGCCAGCAAAGGAGACATTGGTAGGTTTTTTTTTGTTTTTTAATTTTTAAATTTTTTAAATTTTTTAGTTTTTTAGATGGAGTCTTTCTCTGTCACCCAGGCTGGAGTGCAGTGGCGTGGTCTCGGCTCACTGCAACCCCCACCTCCCAGGTTCAAGCAATTCTCCTGCCTCAGTCTCCCAAGTAGCTGAGATTACAGGCATGTGCCACCACTCCCAGGTAATTTTTGTATTTTTAGTAGAAACTAGGTTTCACCATGTTGGTCAGCTGGTCTTGAAATCCTGAACTCAGGTGATCCTCCCACCTTGGCCTCTCAAAGTATTGGGATTGCAGGTATGAGCCACCACACCCGGTCGATATGGGGTTTTATTAGGGGCTCACATACAGGGGAGAGAGTCCAGTAGTGGTGGGCTAGACAAGTTATCCACCTTACAAACAGTCCAGTGGCAGCAAGCTGGGCAGGAAAACCATAACTGCTTGCAAACAGTGTGCAGTTTAAATAGCATTTTCACCTAACACCCTCCCCTTAATGACCTCCACTTACCAACCTTTGTTTAGCCCAAAACTCAGGGCCTCAATCCCTTGGATGGCCCGCTTTCCATGGGATGGGCCGGGGGCTCAGATACTCATCATTGATAAGATATGAATCTCCAGGTTGGCCATGCCGGATTCCTTAGCTTGGAACACACATTCAGATGTGTCTGCCATAGAGGGTCATTCTCAGGGTCTGCTTATGTTATTGCTATCAGGTGTGTTTACCCTACATGCAGCATGTATCAGGCAGCCTGTATCAGCCACAAGTATCCAGGTGGGAGAGCAACTGGTGGGGGTGCTATGGCAGCGGGCAGGAGGGAGGGAGGCTGACTGGTGTTGGAATGCCCGTGCCTCTCTGTTAACTGACTTTTCCCTCCTCGGTTCTACTTCTCTGGTCTCCTCTCACCCCAGGCATCCCCTACGTCTTTTTCCCATCAGAACTTTCCTCCTTTCACACTGAGGTGCAAATGGTTAATAACAGCTGAGAGTGACAGTTCCTGAGAGATTTCTCTGGACTACAGTTTTAAGATAATTGTTTATAATAGAAAATGCCAATCGTGTAGAAACAGAAGAGTATAATCGACTCCTGGGTATCCATCATCCAGCCTCAACAATTAACTCATAGCCCACCTGGTTTCTTCTATACCCCTAGATTACTTGGAAGCAAATCCAAGCCATTTCTTTTTATGTGCAGAAGGCTCCTTTAAGCCCCAATCTGACCACGCCACATGCTGGTGAATGACATTTGGTGGCAGGATAAGGGTCCATGCTACTCCCTGGATTAGAACAGGTCGTCTGCAATCTGGTGCTGACATCTCTCCACTTCCCAGGAGGCCCTACCTTTTTAGCTATGCTCAATGTCGTTCCCCCAAACATCACGTTTTAAAAATCCACCACTTAGAACTCCTGACCTCAGGTAATCCACCTGCCTCAGCCTCCCAAAGTGCTGGGATTACAGGTGTGAGCCACCGTGCTTGGCCTGTTCTGGCTATTAGTTTCAATGGCAAAAAAACAGCGATTACTTTTGCACCAAGCTAACACTATTTGTCTTCCTCTGTGGACAGTGAAGTGGTTGAGAACAGGGACTGGGACTTATGTTACCTGGTGCCACAGTGCTACGACCTGTATCTGGCACATTGCAGGTATTGAATCCCTGTTGTTGAATGCATGAATGAACACAGGGCATTCTACACAATCACTTGGAGAAACTCGACATGAACTCCTCCTTGTACCAGTTACAATTTCCAGAGAGATCAGGGTGTTAGGCTAAACGGGACTCTTAATATTTTCCATCCAACACTGCTATGGGTTATGGACCACTCCTTGAATGGAGGGCTGTCTATGGCTCTCACATGGGAGAGCACACTGCAGGGGTTGGAGAGGGCAACTGGAGGCGGTGGAGGCTGGGTTTCACACAAGTAGTTTGAAAAAGCTTCCTGTTGTTCCAGTGCCCTTCAGGTACAGCCTGTTGGCTGAGAATCATTGAGCTGGAGAGAGAAGGTGCTAAGACAAAATTCTAGGCAACAGCCTGGAGATGGACAGGGAATTTAAGGATGCTGGGCACAGACAGGGTCTTCCTCCCATCTCTCAGGCTCTTTTGAAGACCATCCCTGAATTAGACCAATGAGAATGAATGGCGCTATTTTCTTCACAAAAAACATGCTTTTTCTTCCCCCATGAACTCTAGTGGAACTGATACTGAGATTGATTACACATTTGAGTGAGCTCCTGGGAAGAAACAGGGAAGTTAGAATGTTTACAACTTTGCCTGCCCTGATTCATTTCAAGGACATGGGTCATTAGCATCTGCCAGCAGACAGAGATAGATGCATAAATTCCGACCATTTTGTGATCAAATGTGGGCATAACGTTTTTTGGTCCTTGAGGTGATTGTTACTGTTTGCTGGAAATTCTATTAAATCCCAGCAGCAAAAGCCTTTCTCTTCTTTTTTCATAGTTCTCACTAATTAGAACCTGCTATTAGTCATGGTCTGGCTAGAACTTAACTATTGACCTAACCTAAGCCTTTTAAACAAGATTTTTATCACAGCTCTTCAGATACTCTGGCTTGTGAGTGGCAAATCCTCAACCCTGACACCCGTGTGCATCATGGTTCGCTGTGAAAACACCCTCGTTAATATGTAAAACACCTCCGATACATTTTGATGATTGCAGCAAAGAGCATTCACAAAATGAAAGAAACAGACCCTAATATCCAGTTCTACTGCTTCATAGTGTGACCTCAGAAAAGTAAAATGGCCTATTTAGTCCTCATTATCCTCACTGACAGGAGAGACTAGAACATGGCAGTTAGGTTTTCCTTTGCATGCCAATGTGACAGGCTGGTAGAGTTGCTTGGAATGTTCTGAGAAAGGATAGTGGGAAATGGTGCTGTTTTATTGCTGATGGGATCCCATGGGTGAGGGATCATGAGTGGCAAGATTTACCAACTGTTTGCCCACTCCAGGTTTGCAATATCTTAGGCCTGTCCCTGTAGAGAGATATAGAATGTGGTTAATGTTCTAGTTGGCCCTAAAGGCAAAATTGACCAGGCAGTAGTTCAGTATTTCAGTATGTTATTTGTGGGTATAGATCACCAAAACCTCCAAAAGATGTGGGAATTCTGGGGTCTTTGGTGCACTTCAGAACTTGTAATGTCCTGGATGACCCTGCCACTTAGACTGAAATAAAGTCCTTCTTGGTGTGTGCCTATTAACCAGGCTAGGTTATTAGATCCCCAGGTCACCTGGTATATTGCTGGATTAGGGTAGGTGGGGGGACCAAGACCAGTGGCATCCCAGGAAGCAATGGGATTTCTGATGGGTGTAGTATTAGAGTACTAAGATAATTAGGGTATCTAATCTTTAACTTAGAAAGTATTCAGATAACCCAACAAATAACCCATGTTAGAGGTTTTCTGAATCTTAGGTTACATAACTGTTCAAAGTCACATGAGGTGGGGAGGAGGGAGCTAACATATTTTAAGAGCCTATTATAAGCCAGCACTTTATGCAGCTGTAACTCAATCTTTCCAACAGCCCTTTGGGGTAGTAATATAGTAATAGTATTACATAGGCAAGAAACTGGTGATTCAGAGTCATGGAATAACTTTCACATTGTTGCATAAGGAGAGACACAGAAAGTCAGTCTTCCCAACAGGCTGGATTCTGATCATAGTACACTTTGTATCAAGACTTCTGTATGTTTCATAACTTCCCAATGCATGAGGACCCCAGTAACTTGATAATTCTGACAACCAGGAAGTGGTATTAAAAAATACCCATTCATGATAAAGACGTTTGTAAGCCAACTGTCAGTATAAATAATTGCTATGGGAATTTCAAAGATATTAAAATTGGAAAGGGATTTTAAGCCATTAAGAAGTATTTTTTTATATTCAAGTGATTGACAAGCTAATCAAAACTTCTTTATTTATTAACATCAGGTTTCCCAAGTACTTCTGTAGGTCATTTATTGCTCACTAACTTCAAGAA